TCACTCACTTTTGAGAAAAAAAGTCGCTTTTCCTGAGCCGGCTCCCCAATTTTAAAACATACAAAAAAAAAACTGGGTTGGGTGGCTTGGGACAATGTTTCTTTCCTAAGTTTTTTCCCCTTTGTTCATGTTGTTATTTTTGAAAGGCTTAAAAATCCAAAAAAAAAAACTTTTCTGTTCCCATGGAAGGAACAAAAAGAAAAAGCCTTGCAAGGGTTAGGGACAAAATTTGACACTCTGGGCTTCATGGGGGTTTCCTCCCCCTAAACGCCCATTCTCAAAATGAAAGCAAAGGACATTTTGTTAAAACATTAAAAAAAGCATTTTCATTAGCCCTGGGTGGGTGGCCCACCACCACCTTGCGAGTCCCAAAAAAAGCGTTAACTCCAGAGGCTTTTGAGGCAGGAGGAGAAAATCGCTTTGAAAGCCCAAAAGAGTTTGAAAGTTTGCTTTGGGTTGGAAGCTATTTTGATTTGATTTTTTGCCAACTTTGGTTTTTTTTTACTTCTAAGCCTAGAGGTTGACCAAGGGTGAAAACCCCCTGTCTTTCCAAAAAAAAATTAAAAATTTTTAAAAAAAAAAAGATAAAATAAAAAATTTAAGGTTTTTTTCAGTAAACATCAAAAGATTTTAAAAAAACACTTTTGTTCCATTATGGTTTAGGGTTTTTTTTTTTTTTTTCCAAGATTTTGACAAAGAATAAAAAAAAAAAGGAGAATCCAAATAAGAAATTATAATTTTCTGCTGAAAAAACTTTAATTGAATTAAAAGTTATTTTGAAAAAGCATTTCTTTTTTAATAACTTTTTTTTTTTTTGAAAAAAAAAAACAAAAGAGAGTCTCACGTTGTTGCCAAAGGGGCTAGGAAGTGGAAAGGTTGCCGTGGGCGTTCAAGCCTAAAAGAAAAGCTCAACGGCAAACCTCAAAAAAAAAAACTTCCGTGGGCTTCATGCGGAAATTCCCCCTTTTTGCCTTCAAGCCTCCCCAAAGTAAAACTTGGTGGACTACAAGGCATTGGCCAACCACCATTTGCCTGGCTAATTTTTTTTCTATTAAATAATTATTTTAAAGTCGGCCCCAAAAATTTTAAAATTTTCTTTTTCTATTTTTTAACAGTTTAAAGAAGGGAACGGGTGCGGGTTTCTCCACTCTTTGGCTTCAGGGGGCTATTTCTGGAAAAAAAACTCCCTTTTGGACCTTCGAGGGCAAAATTTCCGGGGGGGCCTCAAATTTTTTTTTTTCTTTTGCGAGAGAGAGAGAGCCTTTTTTCCCAAGGAAAAGAAAAAAAAAAGCTAGGGGAAAGAGAGAGCAGCGGAGAGAAGCGCAGTCGCGGCGCGTGGGGCGCGAAAAAAAAAGCGAGAAGAGCGCGGAAAGTTTTTTTTTTGGAGAGAGAGGAGAGAGTAAATTCAAAAAAAAAGACCCAAAAAAAAAAAAAAGAAAAAAAACGGTTTCACATTTATTTTTCCCACTTTGGGGAAAAAAAAAGCCCCCCACTTTGGTTATTTTTCTTCTGGGCCAAAAAAAGTTTTTTTTTCAAAAAAAAGAAAAAATAATAGGTAACAAATTAAAAAAAAAACATTGAATATTTATTTTAAAAAAAAGCAAAAAAAAAAAAAAAAAAAAACAAAAAAAAAATATTTAAAAAAATTATTTTTAAAAAAAAATTTAAAATTAAAAAACCAAAGAAAAAAAAAAAAAAAAAAAAAAATTATTTTGGCTAACCAAAAAAAATAAAAAAAAAAAATTTTAACCCATTTCAAATTTTTGTCAAAAAAAGCAAAAAAAAAAAAAAAAAAAACAGTTTTTGGGGAAAAAAAAGATGCTTTAAAGGGGAAAAAAATAATTGGCTTGTTAAGGACTTAAAAAAAAAAAAGAAAAAAAAAACCAAACATTTATTTAGAAATTTAAAAAAATTAAAACAAAGTTTTGGTTGGGGAGTTTTTGCTTCAAAAAAACTAAATTTTTTGAAAAAAAAAAAAAGGGCAAGTTTTGCAAAAAAAGGTAATTTTTCCTAAAAAACAATTTTGCCCCTGCTTTTTGGCTCCCTTGTTTTTTCCAAATGATTTGGGACATTTTTTAAAACCTTGAAAAAAAAATTTTAAAAACTTATTTTTTTTTTTTATTTTTGAAAAAAAAAAAAACCAAATTTTTAAAAAATTTAAAAAAAAAAAAAAACTTTTTAAAAAGCCAGAGAAGGTATAGTCTCAGCAATAAATGATCTCTTTAATCAAAACATTACATGATTAAAAAAAAAAAAACTGTAACAGTAACCCCTAATGGAACAGCTTCTGTACAGAAACGTAAAATTCTGGGATTAAATAACAAATTCCGACACAAAATTTATCATCACTGCATCAACCACAGAGAAGCTCCTATAGCAAAGAAGTTGAAGCCAGAAGTTCACAAGTTTCTACAGGATATCATCAGCGAGGTTCATTTTATTTAAAAGGTCGTTACAGGCTGGGCATGGTGGCTCATGCCTATAATCTCAACACTTTGGGAGGCCAAGGTAGGAGGATCACTTGAGGCCAGGAGTTCAAGACCAGCCTGGGCAACACAGCAAGACCCCGTCTCTACAAAATTTTGTTTAAATGAACCAGGCGTGGTGGCACACACCTATAGTCCCAGCTACTGAGACACTGAGGCAGGAAGATCACTTGAGATCAGGGGTTCGGAGTTACAATGAGCTGTGATTGTCCCACTGTACTCCAGCCTGGGTGACAAAGTGAGACCTGGTCTCAAAAATAAATTAATTAATTAATTTAATTTAATTTAATAAATAAAAGGATGGGTTGGGTGAGTAGGAGGACCTTTTTCAGCCGCCGCCGCCGCCGCCGCTCCGACGACAGCAGCAGCAGCCACAGCAGCAGCAGCCGGCGGCGCCGCGCTGAACAAAGGTCATCCGAGCTGCGGCCCAGGCGCCCGGGCTTGACCGCTGCGAGGCCAACCCGGGGAGGGGGTGGGTGTGCGCCTCTGGGCGTGGGGGGCGGCCTGGGGGCGGCCGGCGCAAGCGAGGGGCGCGGGTGGGCGCCGGGGACAGGCGGGGGCGCGGCCCCTCGTGCCCAGCCCTGCGGGTCGGGGCGAGCGCGTGAGGCTCAGGCCCCTTGGCCTGATTGCAGTGGCCTGTCCCACCCTGGCCTTGGGGACAGCAGGCCTTCGCGCCCCGCCGGCTTGCTTGGGGGGCCGAGGAACAGACGGCTTTGCTAGGCCCCGCAGGTTCAGAGAGGGGGGCCACGTGGGCGCAGCTCTCCTCCTCCCCCCGCTGGCGCTGGTGTGCACAGATGCTTTCGCAGAGGCCCCCGTGCCCCCTGTCCCACTGGCCCTTCCCTCGCCCCCCGCCCCCACCCTAGACAGCCCCAGTTTTCTTCCCCGAGGTGAAGGGATTTGGACTTCTCCCCCCAGGTGCTTGAAAGAAGAGAAGGTTGGAGGAGGAGGAGGAGGCTGGGGGGCTGCTGGTGGTGGTGACAGGGCTGGGAGAGAGAGGAGAGGGACGGAAGGGAGGAGGGGGCTGGGTGGGGTGGGGGTGACAGGCAGAGAGGAGCCTGGTCAACAAGCCAGCACCACTCTGCTAGGAGGCCAGGCCGGCTCCTGCAGCCGACGCATCCTGTGTGAGCAGACACACATAGCTTGCTTTCTTGGGGGCTCTTTGTCAGCCACCAACACAGAGAACACACACTGACACACACGTACACAAAGATCTGAGCCAGGTTGTGGGAGGTAAGTGGGGGAAGAAGAAGGAGGGGGAAACAGTGTCCGCGGAGGGCTGTGGGGCGGAGGGGCGGGGGATGGGCCTGAGGGGCTCTGGGGTGCTTGTGAGGTGAGCATTTCCAAGACTGCGTGCGCGTGTGTGGTGGGGGGGACACACGATGACCTTCCCCTGCTCAGGAAGACCTAAAAGGGAGAAGCAACCCCCAGCGAGATCCCCCTGTGCTGATGATTTTCAGGGACTTGTTGGCAACTCAGCGAGGGTTGCCATAGCTTTTTTATGTAGGGTGACCAGAACCGGCTGAAACTGGTTTGAGGCAGATCAGCTCCTGAACACAATGCAGTCACTGAGCTACTACAGTGGGATAGCAGCTTCCTCCCTCCATGGCAGCCAAAAGCAGAGGAGCTTGCAGGAAGGTACCATCCCAACACAGTATGTGAATGCACACTTAGACACCACACAGCACTGGTACGTGACTAATGGAGCCCTGAAAGATTCTGGGTAGAGAAGATGGAAAAAAAGGTGCAGGTTTGCAGGGTCTGAGATTACTTGGGCTTTTCCTGCCTTTTTCTTTTGCTTAAGGGATGGACAAGGAGCTGAGATTTATGACCCTTATTAAAGAAAAAAATGTGCCTTGCTAGGGTGGGGACACTTGGTTTATGCAGTCTCTCTCTCTTTCTCTGTTTTTAACAAAACCAAACCAAAATGAGCTGATGGATTTGTAATGGTAGTTTGTTTGTTGCTGGAGAATGCTACTTTGCATGCCTTTTTTCTCTTGCAGGGTATGTTCTGTTTTGTGCTTTTCCTTTTAGAAGGTACTAAAGGGTGTTGGGGATACTTCTGACTATTATGAAGGCCGAAAGGTAACAATATTGTTCTAGGAAATGAGCATAAATGCGTTCCAGTGATGCTGTTAGCCATACATGCTGTCTTTTTTTTCCTTGTAGGCCTGTTGACTGGGGCTGCTTTTAACCCTTTCATATTTGCTGAGAATGCAGCCGTGTGACAGTAACTGAACACTGGTCCAAAGTCTTTCCAAAAGGTCAAGGTTCACAAGGTGAGATATGCTGTTTTGAGCATGAATTTAAATATTTATTTGCAGATCCATTCAGACACAGACTGACAGTGGATTGCTACCCTGGAGATAAAATTGGGTTCAGAGTGGAGAAGAAATTCTCTTAATGTTAACCCAGTTTAATGGGATTAGAGTGACTTTATGATGGTATTGCTATCAAGGCGAAATCTGAATGCCTTCATTAAATCGCATGTGTCTGGGCAATTGGAAGAGTCAGGCCTGGAAAGAAGGGAGTTTAGAGAATGGTAGGCGTCAGGGCCTTGTGGAGAATGTGCTGTTTTGCATACAACAAAAGCGGTACACATGTGGCATTTTCCCGATGATTATAAGAAAAGGAAGGGCTTCACCAAATCGAGGCAGCCTAGCCACCTTTTTAGTTTGAGGAATCTGAAGGGTAGAGTTGCCTTTTGTTCATTCATCACCTTTCTTTTACCTTGCTCTCTGTGTTAACCTGAAAGGTTTTTCACTCCGAGTCAAGTGGTGGAATGTCTTTTATTGATTTTGGGGGCTGTTGACGGTGAGTTCGCCATTGGATTATTTGTGGCATACATTTTAATGTGGAATACTAATGCAATACCAGGAGGAAACCGGATAGTCTGGCTTCATCTGTGAAAAGATGCCTGTTAACTCAAAGTTGTTCTGTAATGGATGGTAGGAAATGTGTATGTAATGTCTTAAAAGATTGCAGTTAGATCTGAGCTGGCATTTTTATGCACCCTCCAAAACCAAAGGTTGGAGAGGAGAGGAGAAGAATGCAGCAAGGAGTCTAGCAAAGTGAAGAACAAAGGCTGAGAGAGCTTACAGGGGAACACTAAACATTTTGCCTTGGGGTTCCTTATGAAAAGAACTGCAACTTCCCCAAACAGGAAACCAGCGGCTCCACAATCATATCCAGTATGATCTCAGCAACAGATAGAACTGGTTCTGCCTTGCTGCTGGTTTGGTGAAAGTACATGCAGAGGAGCTCACAGAAGACATGATTGAAAATAAATTCTGCCCTACTTTGAAGTGGGCATTTTGTTCCTCTCTTATGCTCAGCAGAATAGAGTCTTTTCAGCAATGCCGGGGATCTTAGAATTGGTTAAGTTGTGTGCTGGCAGTTGGTGGGCAGAATATCTGCAGTGAAGGATGTCAAGTATGCAAGGGTTTTTATTGTTAAGATGTTTTTCATTTGGCTACAGAACATCCACTGTTCTGATAAAGCTGGCAAAAGGGAAACAAGAGTGCATGGTTAGCCCAGAATACTTTATGTAGTATTTAATAGAGATAAATGTAATCTCGGACGGGTAGACCAGCAAATAGCTTACATGATGGAACAAAATTCTTTACAAATCACTGTGCTAAAATTGGTTTTCAATTCTACATCATTTTTGACTGCCAGAGGTTCTGTGTATGAGCGTGGCAGAAATATGCTTGCAAAGCAGATCCCAATCCATGTTGCACGATATGCTGCTCCTGCTTTTCTGGTGCCAACTAAAACTCAGATGGCTAATATGATACACCTTAATTAGCTTAATACAATAAGCTGTTTTATCATTTGGCCCTTCCTTCTTGTCTTTCCAGAGTCGGTGATTTTTCTGTAACTTTGACAGCCAACCCCTTGCACTGGCTATTTCTTGAGAATATGTTTTTAAAAAAATCTCTTTGGAAGGCATTGCACGTCATGGAATGTTCTGGTTTGCTCTCTTGGTGGTTTTTAGCTTTGTTACTTTTCCTCCCCACCCCCACCCCCACCCCCAGAAGTCTCCTGAAAATAGCATTTGTTTTGCATTTAGACCAGTCTTTCCAGCTGCAAATGCTGTTGAAGGCTGGAGAGCTGGTTCTCTAGGGCAGTAATCATGAGCTCATCTTGGATGGAAGCTTGTCTCAGGTGGTGATCTCACTGGGAGGTATAACAATGTAGCAGGCCCAGGTCTCCCAGGAGAGGAGCCGAGAGGCTTCTGGGCTTGGGAATGCGAATGTGAGTGTGCAGTAAGCAAGGGCCTGTTCCTTCCTGGGAGAGCCAGGAGGAGACACCGGGCACCCATACTTGGGGCGGGGCCGGCCTGGCTGTTACTGTCACTTAGCCCAGCCCAGCCTAGCCTGTGGTCGGGATCGCCTGCAGCAATCTCCAAGGACGACCTGGGGGCCATCCCCTCTGAGCAGGAATGTGTGGGTTTGGCTGAGCATGGTACACTGGAAAGAAAGTGTAACTTGGTGTCGAGTCCTTCTTGTTTTTATCATTTGCCTGTGTAGAGTCATTTTTTCCATGTTAAAAAACACTGGCTCCAGGGGCTTTTAGAACTCTCAGCCTAACCTGGTTGGGGAGTGTGAGCTCGTTCTCTCTCCCTCCTCCCTCTCTCCTGTCTTAGGTTCCCTGCCCCCACCCACCTTTACTCATTTTTAGGGAAGGGCTAGGAGGGAAGTAGCCAACATGTAAATGGAATTTTCTGCTTAATATACCTGCTTTAGAATTTTAGGATTTGTGAGTTCTCCCATCCTCCGTTTATTTCTTCCCTTGACATGCTTTCTTGGGCTTTGCCGTGGAGTACAGTCTGCCTTCAGTTGGTTATGAATAACCTTTCCCATACCCTTGGTGGAAGTCCATCTGGCTTTTCGCAGCTGGAGTGGAGGTTGCCCGTATGTGGAACCTCAGAAGGGTTGCCAGTGACTCCCTCATTCCCCTAATGCCTCTTTCTAATCCCCGTACTGTCAAAACAAGAACAGCAGCAGCCATGGTAAGAATTACAGAAATACACCTTTGTGTTAATTATATTTTAGGGATGATCTTTAACTGAGTCATGGTTAAAGAATTAACTTTCTTAATTTTTACATTTACACACAGTAAAACTTACTCTGTGATACACAAGTCTGTGGGTTCGACACGTGTATAGAGTCGTTTATCCAGCACCACAGTCCATACGGAATAGTTCCTCCGCACCAAAAAATGCCTCTTGCTGCCCTGGCTCCCCAGCCCTTCCCTTGGCAACCACTGTCCCGCCATAGGGACGTTGTTCTCTGTCCCTGTAGTTTGGTCTTTTCCAGAATGTCATATAAATGGCTTCTTCCACTGAGCAAAAACACAACTGAGGTTCATCTATATTCTGTGTGTCATGCTTGGTTCTTTTTTGATGCTGAGTAGTGTTCCACTGTGTGGATGTACCACAGTTGGTTTATTCATTCGCTGCTTGAAGGACATGAGGGTTGTTTCCAGTTTTTGGTAATTGTGGATAAAACTGCTATAAGCATTTGTGTACAGGGTTTTGTGTGCATGTAAGTTCTCATTTCTCTTTGGTAAATACAGTCATGTGTTGAGCGATGATGGGGGTATGATCTGAGAAATGCATCGTTAGGTGACATCATCTTGTGAGCTTCGTGGAGTGCACTTACAGAAACCTGTATGGTATGTCCTACTGCACACCTAGGCTATCTGGTATGGTCTGTTGCTCCTGGGCTGCAAACCTGTACAGCGTGTCACTGTATTGAATACTGTGGGCAGTTGTAACACAATGGTAAGTATGTGTGTATTGAAACATACACAAACATAGACAAGATACAGTAAAAATATGGTATTGTAATCTTATGGAACCACTGTTGTATTGGCAGGCCATTATTGACTGAAGTGTCATTGTGCATTACATGACTCTACTTAGCATTGAGATGTCTGGGTCATATGGTACATACACAAGAGTTAAAAGTTTGAATGAAAATAAATTCATCTCATTGTAAGTCACAGAAAAGATCTAGCCTTGACAGCTGCAGTTAAGACTTCCCAAGAAAGAGATCGTAGTGAACATTGTCTGAAGACACACAAGAGATGATCATGATAATAGAACACTCTCTAATGGGATGACATGCTTTATAACCCTGAACTAATCGGAATTAGCCAAAAGTGGAAACAAAAACTGCAAGTGGTAAAATATCCTTTCTCTCCTGCAGCAGTTATTTTTAATCTCTTCAGAAACATTTGGCAGTTTAATTTTTACATTTGTCTTCAGGTTCAATAAAACACCAAACATTAATAGAATTGCAATTTCGGAAAGTGATACCGAAGCTCTTTGTTGAAATCTTAGTTGTATGTAAACAGCTTCTTAATTATAATTGGGTTTACTGACTGCCAGTATTGGTGGTGTTTTAATAGTTACTATTCAGCTTTTCTAATTTAAGGAACTGCAAGTCTTTAAGCAATATCAAGGCAGTGAAAGGGGAGATTTTGGAAGCAGTTTTTTTTTTTTTTCTAAGGATAAAATAGCTTTCAGGATTGGGAAGAACAGATCCTGAAAGCTGTTTTAGGGATAGACAGAGATCATGGTGGTGTAGGGGGAGGCTAGCCCAAGAAATGGGAAGCGGTGTTAATTTGGGGATTGTTCTGCCCTTTTAACAGATACCTACTGTTTACTGAGCAGACATTGTGCTAGTCGCTGGGAGTGCAGAGGGGAAAGGACACCAGAGAGACAAGTCTAGTGGGAATGAGCCTACTGAAGCTATGGCAGGAATGTGAATGGGCCACCTAGTGCCAGCGTCAGGGGAGGAGCCCTTGAAGAGGTGGCTTCAGAGAGGAACCGGGAAAGAACAGTGAGAATAGGGAGGCCTGTACTGATGCAGCGGGCTGCGGAAAGGCACGAGAGCGCCGGTGTTGGGAGTGGGCTGTGGGAGGGCCAGCCTGAGGAAGGTCGCTCAGTACAGTCCCTTCGAGTGTGGCCTTCCTGTGTGGGCAGTGTAGGCAGAAGGACTTCCCTTTCATGACAGAGGTCCTGTGGCAGCACTGGAGGCTGGAATGGAGGTAGGGAGGTCAAGCGAGGGGACCGCTGCAGGATTCCAGGAGAGAGAGAAACCGTGAGGGCTTTGATCCGAAGCCTTGTTCCTGGGGATGGAGGGGCAGCATGCGCACCTGAGGGGTAAGGGAGAGATGGAGGAGGGCAGTGCAGAGGCCGCCTCCCAGGTGGCAGGTGGAGGCGCATCTTTGAGATAGCAAGTTCAGAAGGCTGAATAGATTTGGGAGA